AGAAAGGAACCAAGGGAAGCAGTGGCCTGGCTGGTTGGTACAGAGGTGGGACGGGGGCCCCAGAATGACTTTGGAGTTTGAGTCTTTGTGATCCTGAGTGTTTCACTCTGGCCAGCCTTCTCTTTCACAAGAGCTAGAGTTGTTTCTTTTGTTGTCGTTGGTCTGTTCTTCACGGCCTGTGGGGTAATCTCCCCTCCAGGGTCCCCCCTCGCCATTTTCATGCTCGTCCTCTCTTATCCTCTGGAAAGCATTTTTATTAGAAAATGAAAAACTTCAGTGATTATTTGTAGGAACTGTGTCCAGCTGCTCAAACCCACCCAGTTTCTTTTTTTAGCTTCTCCCCCACTTAAAAATAAACAGCATCAGGTCCCACTTGCCAAGCCTTTGTCACCGTCTTCAGCAGCCATTTCTCTGGCCCATCTGCTCCCCCAGATGCTCAGCCCATCCCCTCCTCCCAGCTCAGCCCCTCCGTGGACAAGTGTGGGGCCCTCGAGCATAGCAGGCAGCGGCCCCACCATCTGCCTTCCATCCCCGGGCCCTGCTGAGTGTCACTTATGACCCAGATTCCGCAGACACCCCCTCCCCCCCAGCTTATTTGCCCCAGCCAGTCCTGTGATTTCCAGGGACAGGATGTTGACTGGAAAAGATAGAGGGGTTGCCATGGAGATATGAATAAACACATATGAGCTGTGGACATGAGCCGTGTACCCGTCACAGAAAGAAATTCAAATGAGTTTGACGGAAGTTTAATTCAACTCTAAAGTTTGCTTCGTTGGGGTTACATGCCTCACCTCTGGAATCGGTGTCTCAGAGGGAAGTTTAAAGCCACTGCTAGCTGTCGTTATAACATTCCCACACCCGCCTCTTGTTTCTTCCTTCAGAGACAGTGTGCTCACACGGGGAACTCAGAGGTCTGCCCGTACTCCCGGATGTTCTGAGGGGCTTGCTGTATCCAGGTCCAAAATCCAGTACCTGCTCTTGGGCCTGAAGAAGGGGTTGTAGCGACATTAGCATGGAGAGGAACTGTCCCAACCTGTCACATAGGTCAGAGTCCACGCTGGGGAACTGGTCACCCTGTATGGGGACAGCGATGGTCTCTAACCTACTCCATCTCTTGTTCTTCCTCTCTCCTCTGGGTTTCAGGGGTGTGGGGTGAGGGGCTCGGACCCGGTGGTACAGCTCGCCTGAACATGGCTGGTGGCACAGGAGATTCCTCCTCTCTCAAATTTGATGCCAGGCGATGAGGGGTGGGGGTGGGAGGGGCTGAGCACTAGGGCCTGTCAGGAACCCTTTTCCTACCCCGAGATGCATTTTTTCTGGGCCCCAGGGAAAAGGGGGAATGGTTTTGTCTTCCTTCCTAATGAGAGAGGAAGGGGTGTTCTGTGCCCCCAGGGACCGAGAGGGAAGTCAGCTCTAGAATGAATGTGGAAGAAAACATTTCACCCTCTCTCCAGAGGGCGCTGTTGACATTTCAGGCAGGACTGGCACACTACAGTACGTTTATCACCCCTGGCCCCTGCCCATCAGAATCCACAGTCATCTCTAGGCCATCGTGTTGTCCTTGGGACAACCAAACATGCCCAGTGAGTTTCTAAATGCCCCTGGGGGCAGTGCTACTCCAGCTTTTTGCGACCAGGAGATTGAATTGTCACAGACTCATTTGTCCTCTGGGGAGAGAGCATGACCAGACCAGAGCTGCTTTTTATCTTGATATATTCGTGTTAATGAAAACCAAATTCTGTTTATCATCGTTGCCTTATCCAACCAAGTTGCCAATTCTTATTTTCATACCCGATGACCCTTTGCTGTACACTGATCTATTTCCCCATTTATTTTATAATTCCTCAATACTAGTTCTCCTACCAAGAGAGGTTTCAAGCACCTACGCCATGAGGATGGTGACTAACAAATAAGGCTCGGTCCTTTGCACGTGGATAGCCAGCATCCTAGATGTGAAGGACCACAAGAGTGATGACGACAATTGCTGTAGAACTTCAGAGAAGAGAATATAAGAGAAGCAAAGAGTTTAAAGTGGGAACTTTGGCCCTATGGCTCTAGAGATTCAGAAAGTCATATTTCTTGACGTTGCTGGCTGGGCCGAGGGAATATATCCTTCCTGCCTCGCCCACATGGCATTTTTCCTCCTGGGATCCCCTAAGTATGGAGATCTCCTCTGGAGTTCCTGTAAACCAATGACTGAAGCCAGATGGTTCCAAGATGAGAGAAAGAAATCCCCAATGTCGAAGCCATCTCCTTCTGCAGTATTTCTGGGGAATCTGAAGAGGAGAGATGGTTGCAGCTGAGACTTAACATCCCCTTTGCTGTTAATTATTACCCTTCCATGGGCTATCCACACAGGCCCTCTTCTTCCTTCCTCGGGGCCCACAATTCTCCTCTCCCACTGACTCACAATGAAGAGAAGCAGGGCTCTGTCAAGTTTGCTACTTATCGGCAAGGCTAATTTTGTCAGTTCAGAGGGTGGAGCTGTTAATTAAAATCAGGTTTTCGGATTTTCTTTGTCATCTATTTTGTCTCCCACCCACTCACCCTGGGGGATAATGGAGAATCGCTTATGATCATCTTGATCTCTTCTTTAAGTCTTTCTAGCTTATTGATTCCAACAGCCCGTGCCTTTAACATTCTTGCTTTTTTAAAAACAAAAAAATTAACTATTTCTAAAAATTGAATTGTCTTCAGTCATTTCAGATTTTAGATGCCCTCCCTCCTGTCTCTGGGAGCAGCGGCTCCTTTGTATTTGCTATTATTTTGACTTTTTTCCCCCCTTAGCAGAAATAGGAATTTATGGACTTAGGTGGCCGAGAGGGGTCCTGGGGTAATCGGAGAATACAGGGAAGATTCGCAGGAATCAGGGCCTCAGGTGCTGAGAGGAGCCCTGTGCCTCCAGCACTCTCTCTCCCCTCGCCTCCGCCCTTGCTCTGCCCCGTGCCCCTCAGCTCTGCCTCCTTCTAGAGCCCGTCCTTGCCCTGTAGCAGGTAACCGAGCACCACAGCCCTGCTTAGCAACCCTAAGAGCGTTTTCCTCTCTCAGTATCTCTGTTGATTATTTAATAATTGTGATGATTTCCCATAAAAGGAGAACCACTTGGAGGTAACCGAGCTATGTGCACTCTCTGGGATTCACATTAATAAAAGATCACCTGGGGCCTTTGAATTCCTCAAACAGCGTATAAGGTTGGGGGAGACTGATGGGGTTAGAACAGAAGTGGCAGAGTGTCTGACTCATTGGGTCCCTTAGAAATCAAATGCGTTGTCATAGTCCCTGTACCTGGAGAGAATTATTTGGACACATTTATGCCAATTAACATAATTCATATTTTCTTGATTTATTTTAGATTTCTCTCCCTATCTCTCTGCTTCCTCTCATTCCGCCTCCCCAGTTATAGCTAATCGAGTCAATCATACCCAGAAAAGACCTTCCTCTGCTCTAAAATGCAGAAACTGGTAGATTTCTGTCTCCTTATTCTCAGAGGAGGAGAGCATTGAGGTACAAGCCTTCTTTGTCCTCATTTCTCCCTCAGTATCAGTTTTTATACTGTGCAGTTGTCCCTTATTCTGGATTTGTTTGACATTATCCCCGGTACATGCTTGTGGCCTCTTAGAGCAGGGGAGAGACTAGAGGTCATCTTCTTTAGTGGCCTCTAACCAGGAACATGCCAGCATCACTGGAGAGCTTTCCACAACAGTCACGTCCAGGCAGATAACTCAGTCATCGCCTACTGCTCAGCTTATCCATGAGAACGCCACACTCTCATACACGGTGGCAGTAAAGCCATGCTCCAGTGTGATGCTGGAGGGCAGATACGTGGTAGCAGCTATATCTGAGCATGCAGAACAGATGCTGGGACTGGCAGGAGAGGAAAGGGGAGAGGGTCAGGAACTCATTTCTCTGGATTTTCAGAGGGCACTGACCAGGGCTTACAGAATGGCCACAGACGATTCACAGCAGGATCCCCTGCTGGAGAATATCTCTCTGGCTTAGTCCTTTTTGCCTGCCAGGAATTCAGGCAATTCAGAATTCTTAGTTGTAATTAAAGCACAGCTGAAGTCAGGATGTGCAGGTTTCAAGAACTGTCTCTAGACCCTTTACTCCCTCGCTTTTCTGTCTTTGGATGAGGCTGAGGTATTTGTCAGAAAACCTGGGGCCTTGTGTCTGGCTGTTGCGTGGTACCTGCTTCTCATTCTGAATATCTAGTCCCAAAGGACAGTCCCTGTGACCGTCATGGCGCTCACATACTGTAGACACTGCACTGTGACCTTGCTCGGGAGGGCGACGAGAACAGTCAGTGCTGAGCAGTAAAGGCTTTGGCGACTTTATGAAATCCTCGAGAAGATATTAAAAGGGAAGGAGAAAGTGCAATGAAAAGCACAGATGAATGAGCAGAATTCTTTATCATCAACGCTGGAAAGCATCGCTCCAGTTCCTGCCCATTTCAGATGCTGTAATAAGCCGCCCTTCTCTGATGCGGCTGCAAGTTCACTGTCAATGGGACATGTGCCCCGATCTCTGATTCTAGGAATGGAGTCGGCTTGTACTGATTCTCCTGCACCCTGTTAATGAGACTCCGCCTAATAGTGGGTCAAAGTTATGGAATGGCTCCCCAGGGTCAAGTAAACTGGCCCAGAAGATCACCCTGATCTTGAGCTCATTACACAGAGCTGTGCTTGTTATCATAGAAAGCAGTGTAAAATGTTCTCGTACCTGTAGATTTGCATGCAGAGATGTGCGCTTCCGTACTCATGTTACCCATGTCCAAGAGAAGCCCGTTTTGGTCACAGGAAGTAACAACTCAGAGTGTGTCACTTCTTTCTTGGACCAGAATTAGCATGTTGCAGAAATAGAAGTCGTGAGACCTGTTTAAACAACCACCCAGTTCAGGCTGTGCGGGGAGGCATCCTGGGCCGCGGCCGAGGAGGGCCGCATGACTCTCAGTCTCATTTTTAGCCTTGAGATGAGATGCCTTCTTGCCTTTTGCCCCACAGGTCCGGTTCCTCTCCCCACAAGCTCGCCGTCGATGCCACGCCGCCCTAGCGTCTTGTTCCACCTCCATGCTGATCTTGTCCAACCTGGTGTTCCTCGGGGGCAATCAAGTCGGGAAGATCTACTGGAACAGGATCTTCATACAAGGTAAGGTGCCAGGCAGTGCTGTTTTCAGTCAATTTCTCGCTTTCCACATTGGGACTTGAATGAGACTGGAGAGGGCATGCATTGTTCTGTTCATGGTATGTGATCTCTAAATACCAGCCAGGAACAATTCCCTATATTTAGCTGTGACTTTAAGTGTCCCCTATTTGGATGTACCTCTTCTCTATGACATGTGACACTTAACATCAAAATACACTATCTCAAGTCTCCCAAACTCTCCCATTCGTTCTAACTTACCTCTCCAATTCTTTCACTTTTATTAATTTTCCCTACTGTCCGTGGACCCCAGCCTTCAGTGCACCACAGAGTCTAACATTTACCATTCTGAAAGGCCTACCGGGATTATGTCCTGGGAGCCCCATTGTGCTCTCCTGCAGCTGGGGGTGTGGCACCTGCGTTTGCCACGGCTCTTTGTTAGGAATGTTTTTGTCTGAATACTCGGATGCCAGCACTAGCAGATGACCTTCTGTTTAATGTACATTAAGTGGCTCATCTCTGTGTTCACAGCAAAGCCACACCTGCAGCAGGCAAAATGCTCATCTGTGGGAATTATTGTGGAAACATTGCATTAATAATTGAACACCATTTATTTAAGGTCACCGTTTCCCTGGGGCTGGAACTGAGAGTTATGTCACATCCTTAAGAGAATAGGAAGAAAGGAAATGACTGATAGTATGCGTTACTCTAGCCAGTTCCCTCTGCGTTAAAAGCAAAGGTTCTCTGACCACGGGCAGGGTTTTGTGCTGTCGGTTCGGGAAGCTTTGCCAAGCAGTGATGACGTGACTCTGCCCGGCTAGGCTGTCCTCTCCACATCTGGGTTCCTAGGCCAGTGATGCTTTCGCTGCAGCTCTTTTCACATCAGAAATAACCCCAACACAGCCGCGTGATCCCAGAATGCCAGGTCACAAATCCAGACTGGCAGGCGGGGCGGGCCGGGCTCGAAGGGGCCGAGAGACAGCCCTGTTCTGCTTTCATCTCATCGCTGCAAGACCTCTCTTTGGTCTTGCTTTCTGAGAAATGTCTTAGCTGATTGTTCCTGAAAAGACCATGTACTTTTTTAAGTGGAAGCTTTCCTTTAATAAGGATGGGAGATAATGGGGTGCGGAGGATCTGAAGATAAAAATCTCTCCTAGAGGCAGGCGACTGCGTCTTACTTATCTTGCCTCTTACCACAATGCCGAGAACGCCGTGGCTCGGGGAAACGCTGACTTGGGGTTTGCTGGTCCCGTGAGCGAGAAGGCTCTGATCTTTGCTTCAGTAAATCAGACATATCGGGTGTTTGCTACTTGAAGGCACTGAGGCCACGTGGATGGAAAAAGAAGCACACACAAACGTAGGCCCCAAACGTGCAAACAGGAATCTGTCAATCGATTCGGGTCATTGCTGTGCCAGATGCGAGAGTGAACTGCTAGAGGTCACGGGACGGAGTGGCCGACCTTCCTGTGGAAGCTGGACTTCACAGAAGAGGTGGCATTTGAATTGGAGTTTTGAGCACAGTAAGGTAGGAACTTGCCAGGTTGAGAAAGCAGGTGTGTGGGGTCAGTAACACTCGCTGCTGTCAGGTAATTCCAAACTCCCAGTAATTTTTCCCCTTAACAAGTTTGTTCTTCTCACAAGTCAATTCGTGGCCAGTGCCTTTTTCTAAGCAGTGACTCCAGGACTTAGAATGTTTCTGTTTTGATTCTCCACTGCCTTGTCCTGGCGTCATGGAGGGGAAGAGACGCGGGGTTAGAGACAGGACCAAATGCCCCCAAGAGAAGTGATATGTGGCATTTCTGCCCACATTGCATTGGTCAGAACCAGTCACATGACCAACCTAAGTGCCAGGCAAGGAGACGTGGGAAAGTACACAGGTATTAGTAGGCTGTGGCACAGGAGGAAAGGGTCCATGAGGCAACCAGCTGGAGCGGCGGGGAAGGTGGGACTAAATGCTTGCAATGTGGAGTCAAGGGCATGGAGGTGTTAGGTGAGGCCATGGAAGTGGATGCAGTTAGCCAGGGAGCATGCACAGAGTGAGACGGGAACAAAGTGGGATGTGAAACCTGGGGATGCTGGCACTTAAAGACGTGGAAAGACAGCAACTGTGAGATCTTCTTTCAGCTTCTCAGAGGCAGAAAGATCAGCGCATGATTTGCCGTGGAGCTGACGTCGTTGACGTGTGATCAGGGCTCTGGAATAGCGGGTCTGCGGCTGCTGTGTGGGCCTTACTGTGGTCTGTGATTGGGTACATGTCGTGTCCCCTTGGAGCCAGGTGCCGGAGTCCTGGGGACTGGTTCTCTGAAAGTGGAGGGTCTGTGGAATTGTATCTCTGTTTTCTGTGTCAGAGATTCTTCAGATCAGCTTGGTTCCATCTCAGCTGGTCTGTCCCATGGCCTCCTGAGTCAGGAGTGCCTACTGGTGTTTTGACATTTGCATCATCTGTCTGGTCCCCGCTGTGGGTCTTTGTCCCTGAGTGACTAAGTTTAGATACCTCTTAGAGGAAATGAAGCAGATGGTGCTAAATCCCCCATCCTGGGTTTTTTTTATAACTAATTTGATTGACCTGATATAAAATTAGTATGAATATTCATGTTTTGGTACAAAAAAGTATTAATGAGCTTTTAGGATGCTTCCTCAGACTCTGCTGGGGTGTTATATTAGCTTTATATATATATATGTATATATGAATTCTGAAACTCCTCTGGCCTCAAAGTTTTCAGATAAGGGATTATCGAACTCTACACCTCACAGCTGATGAATGAGCCAGGAGTTTGACACGCCGGTTGTCTCTCTTCAGCCACAGGATCAGGACCTGTTGTTCTGAGACTCATCTCTACACACTGAGGAAGATGCGGTGGAGTGAGCGAGGAGGCCTGTAGCGGGTGGAGAGCGTTTATGCTCAGTGTCTAGTTGCCAGGTTTAATTGGAAGGTGACCCTACTGTGGAGGTAACCGCCATTGTCCCTCTGAGCCTTGATGGGCTGGACCTGCTGCAGTGACAGGGAGATGCTGGTCGCACTGTGCTTCCCTAGCAGATCTCATCTCTGTGAGTCCCGGAAGAGCAGGGCGATGCCCGTCAGGTGTCTGGAGGGTCATTGAGGAGGTAGAAGGCACAGCCTCGTTGATTCTCAGACAGCCTTTTCCCAGCCTTGCTGATGTCCCCAGCAGTATCTCATGATTAGCCCGAAGGACATGGCTTAAGGTCAGTATCTCTCTGTCTCCAGTTCACGGAATTTAGACGTGGATTTGTTTGCTTTAAGCTACAAAGCTTATTTTAGTAGCTTATGTAAAAGTCTCTGCCCTGGTCTCTCTGAGGTTCATGATACAAGGCTGTAAAACCAGAGCCTTCCCTTCTGCCATGCACACAGCCCCGCTGTGCATAAGGGTGGCCAACGCCAGCCGAGGGATGGAAATGCCGGGCAGCCCCCTGGGGTTCTGGTATGCGTCATGCACAAACCGGTTTTATCGAGTGTCATCTCTGCTGCAGAGGTTGGAGGGGTAATGTTCAATTAATACAGTGGAGAATAAAGAATATTTATATATCTATATCTATATCTTTCCTTTAAAAAAAGTTTTCCAAATTTTGCTTTTGAAGTTTACTTCAAGCAGCTTGATGAATGCGAATGTTTGGCGGGGTGTGTGTGTGTGTGTGTGTGTGTGTGTGTGTGTGTGTGTAGAAGGGACCTAGCTGGGTCCAGGGGTCTGGGCAGGATGTGGTCGCCAAGCTGGCTCTGGGAGGGACCTTGCTGTGGCGTGCTTTGCAGAGGCAAATGCAGGTTGCTGCTTATGTTACTCTCTGGCTCTCAGAAGCACATGTTGATGGAAGGAGCTTTCTCAGGTCTGCCTTAAAGCCTTAGTGTTGAAGTGTAAGCTAATTCCCTGGACAAGCAGTTGGTGACCGCTCTGTAACTCAAAAATGCCAATGTGCTATAACTCCAAGGCCAGTCTCCGTAAACCAGCCGTGTGCTCAGCATCCTGGCGGTCCTCTGTCACCTTGGGGCAGGGGGAAGAAAAGGCAGACAAATGAGGATAGGCATACACTGCATATACTGGGTATTCCTCGGCTGTGAAGGGGCTGTGAGCTTCGCGTTTGTCTGGGTGCAGGGTGGTGGTCCATTTACTTCTGTCAGCAGAAGGCCCGGGCTTTGTAAGAAGGAGACCTATTCGTTTCCCAGCGGGCAGGGCACTGGATTCTCCATCTAATTTTTTGCAGTGACGGGAGCTGGGTAGAGACATGGCAGCCACCAGTCTCTTGCCTGACTTCTCATCTTTCTCGCACACACACTTTCCCTCCTCCTCGTTGCCTGATCTAGTTTGGCAAACTCCATCTCAACATTTATATCCTGGAGTGGCCCTGTGCCAACACGAGAACTTGGTTCTTTCCCTGCAGATTGCAATGAGAGAGAAACTAGTAATTTTCTTACGCAGGTCAGAACCTTTCCACTCCCCATATTTGCTTGCTGTTTCTATCTGAGAAAGGAGAAAGTGTATTTTCTCCTTGATTGCTACCCTGTCCAGGCAGTTTATTCATCTCCTGACTCAAATGGCTCTGGACAGGCATTTTATTTAAAGCTGAACTGGGGCGTTGCACTGGAAACCCTGGAAGGCCGTGGTTAAATAGAAACTCATTCCCTTACATCTTATTAAATTCTTGGGACTAAAATTTCATTTTTGATGAGAGAAGGCAGAGGGCAGACGCCAACCTCTTGGGGGCCTTCCTTTGTAATTACTTTCGCTATCTTCACTAGCACTTCCTTTCAATGGAGTTTTCATGGCTCTGTTTGATTCCACTTCTGCCTCACTGGATTCTCTGCACGTTCTAGAACAGTTTGAGGAGCAGGGGTTTCCCACCCATCGTACTGGTGGCGAAGTTGATATGTTGGCACAAGATAAGCAATTCATCCATGGTTACGCGTTGGTCTGTTTATGACCATTCTTGGAATCTGAATTTCAAGATGTTCGGAAGCTTTGGTTTCTTCTTTACTCTGTTATGTGGTCACCCAG